CCCCCACCAAGGGAAGCAGGAGGGTCCCCGTGAGGGGCCAGACGCCCCCCTCGCCGGGTGGTGCGGGGCAAGCTCCAGCACCACCGCGGCCCGGGGGGGCTGCTGCCCTAGAAAACCTGTGGGCGGTCGGACGAGCACCCCTCCCCTCCGCGCAAGCGCTGGAAAGGCTCCGGGAGCGCCCCAGGAAGCCTCAACCAGGCTCTGAGAGAGCAGCAGCCCCCAACTCTCGGAAAGTCTTTAGGCAAGCCCTAGGGTACCAAAAAGCCACTTTCCGAAAATGCAATTGCTCTGTTTCAGCCTCGCGCTCCAGTCCCCAGGGCTCTCTGGCCCGTCGGTCCAGGCACCGCTAGAAGGCTCTGAACGGCTCTAGGAAGCTCCCAGCGGCTCTGGCGCAGCCTCCAGGAAGCTCCGCGAGTTTGAGAAACGCCAGGACAAGCTCTGCCCCCTGCCTTCCCGGGGCCGCAGGTGTCACAGGCCCACACCGGGCCAGAGCGGGACATGTGCGCGTACGCCCCAGCTGCTGCCCGTCCTCCACCGCTGAACGCTTCCCGCAGCCCTGGCTTACAAACCAGTGCTCTCGCGCTATTGCGTTTCCATAAAGAGCCACAAAAGGACTCTACCAAGACCAGCATTGCAGTAGTTCATTCACGTTTTACTAGTACAAAAAGCAATTAGCACAGTACATCATCAAAACCTTGACCAGGTAGGTGAGCTCAAGGGGAATTATCTTGGATCAACCGTTAGTCTCGCTTCACACAGTTAGGTCTTGTTCATGTGAATTGGTGCATCGAGGGTCCTCTAGTGCCTCATCTGAGACGGTGCCTCTGTTGCGTTCCCGTTTTGGTCACTGCTTGCTGAGGCCATAGCTTGTCAGCCATCGTTTGCCAGCAGATAATTTTGGATTCAAGACCAGAGAGCATTTACAGCTGTAGTTTAAGCACCATCCTCAGTGAGGATCACGCCACAGAAACTCCCCAAGGCAACACTGGCCCCAGGAAGGACTTTGCCAGCCACAGCCTGCCTGCATGGTACTTCTAGGGCATCTAGGCCCGAACTAGCCAACTTCTGCCTACCGACCAAGTCCTTGACAGCTCCTAGCTTCTCCCTTCATTGTCTGTGCTATAGCTGGGCTTCTTCAGTGGTAAGACAGCCTGACCTCAACTGCAGGGCTGGGGACATGGCCAGCAAGGACTGCGCTAGCCTGGGAGCTGCTTGTGGTGGTTTTGTCTCCTATTCTTTTCCTGTCTAGTAAGAGGGATGGTGGCATGAAAGAAAAAATAATGCCCCAGAAGGTCACAGAGTTGCCATAGGCAAATGCAGTGGTTTCCAGATTATGGCAGTATCTGTGCTACACAGCGCTGGAAGCACTCTGGTGCAGAGACAAGTTTCCCTACCCCTTGCATTTCGCCCTTCCAGAGGCACCAGCATTGATTCTTTCAGCCTCCCAAAGGGTTACCCAGTCTCCCACAGTGGGAGCTGGGAAGGCAGGTGGAGTAGACAACCACTGATTGATAAGTTAACCCTGAAATACTCCTGGGCTTCAGGGCTTCTTCCCCATTGGCGTGACCTCAGCCCATCCCTCCCAGTCAACTTCCCACCCCAGATCCCCCAAGACCTCATTTCAGAGGTCTGCACTACTTTTGGCAGATCCTACTAAGGCCATCATTACCATCATGGCTGCACATGGCTACCTCCCTCTCAAAAGCACAAATACCATTGTTAATGCTCAAGGAAGGGCATAGGCAGAAGCTGACCCCCCCCCTCCTGCTTGCTGGCAGCCCGGGCAAAGTGCCACAAGCACCTTACAGCACTGGTGATGCACGGCAATGAAGAGCTGACCCTGGGTGGATGAGCTGGCAGTAGAGACAACTGGTCTGCTGGGAGCTAAGTGACAGGTCAGATGTACCAAAACTAGTTTTTTTGGCAAGGCTTATCTCATTCAGTCACCTAAATCTAAAACGAGGAGAGAGCCAGCAGGTTAAGTAAAGGGGCTTTGGACTGCAATCCCTGGACCTCAAGACGACAGCACAGATTCGGGGCTTTTAAATCAGCACTCTATTATTCAATGCAGAGGCAGGAGCAACCCTGGGCAGGCTCCAGGAACCCTCCTGTAAGACCCTGTAAGAAAGATGACCCTGTAAGAAAGTCATCACTGAAGTGACAGCACCCAGAACTGATCTGTAGGATAGTCCAATCCCAGGCTGTGTCAACAAAGCTTCAGGATAGCAAGCCCCATTCCTATGGGATGTAAAACAGCAGCAGTTAAAAAGATCACTAAATCCCATCATTGCTTTATGTACAAATCTTATCTGTTCTAAAGGATCATATTGGAGTGCCTTTTACTCCTGGCAACAGGCAGTTTTAAGTAGCAAAATAACTCCTCAGATCAGCCCGTGACTGTCTTCATTCCTGCCTGCCAACCAGTAGAGAGAGGCTATGGCAAATACCAGCCCCGTTCAGACAAACGTTCTTGAATCCTGTTTCAGGTGCTGGAACGAGCTAGCCTTTGCCTCACCTTGTGCCTTGGTGCAGGAGGTTTTGGTACCACAATCCTGCGTCGTGGCTTTGCAGTGATGTGCCGAGTCCCTAGCTGCGTTCTCAGGATGACTTTACCTTCCAGGGTGCTCTCTGGATCCAAAGCAGTTCTGATCCCAGAGCACAGGTGCGTTTCCCCGGGGAGAGCTTACAAGGGGTGGCACCTCAGGCTTCGGCATCGTCCCGGTTCAGCGCACCGGTATCTTGCAGGAGCGGCGTTGTCTCAGAGAACAGAGGAGGGTTGCTCTGCGTGTCGGGCTCACGCAGGCTCTTCTCTTCGGTGGTTCTCTGAACAGAGAGCAGAGCAGCAACTACACACTCAGCAGTTGCAACACGAAACAGACCTTGCAGTGCTTTCGCCACAGTTGTCACAGTGAAGACCTGCGATCCCCCTGCAATTGCCTGCCCCCCACGCACACTGCCGGCCCCACTTGAGGTATACCCTGTGGGCAGACTAGGACGGAGAGGCTTACAGCAAACCTTCCCGCATAACTGGTCAAGTTTCCGGAAGTTACTTTGGACTACTTGATTTCCAGAATGCCTGTTTCACTCCACTTCCCCTAATATCTCTCGGAGCGTGCCGTTACCTGTCTGAGGTCTGCAGACCTCGTGACAGCCAATTTCCCAACAAGAAACAAAGCCACCTGGGTTTCCAGAGCTCCCGCAGGAGGATCACAGCATCGCAGGGTGCCAGCACCCCATCCCTCATTGGGACGCTTGCACCCAAGACCCCTCAGACTTTTAAGTATTCAAGAATCCTTTTCTGAAGGCTTCTTAAATAGAAAATCTTTGCATCTCCTCTCCTGAACAGAATGAGGTTATTTTCATTCCTGCCCGCTAATACTTGGAGCGCCAATAAACACCCAGATATTTAATACATCAGAAATTCCCTGTGGAAAGCCTTTTTAATCAAGGATCTGGATGCTGAAGGAGAGTGAAATCCCTGAGTTGGCTAGCTCTGTTAGGCCCATGAGTTTCTGCTCTTTTAAAAACTTACCCTTGGATTTCACAAACAATCTGGGGAAAGGTGAGAAAAGTGTTTCCTCACACCAGTCCTATTTTTCACCCTGATCCCCACTGATCTTGTTATTAAGGCTGCAGATCAGGTACGCTGGGAGAAACAATAAGAGCATCTTCTTGCAACCTGGTTAAGTGGGACTATTAAGACATCTAAATTGCCCTGGATAAAGCTAGGAGGCAACACCATTATGTCAAAGCTTGCCAAGAGGGCATGTCTGGTGCATGTGAACAGTTAAGCATTTTCATTTGACTGGTTTTAAGCAAAGCTTAATCAAATCAGGATGAGAAAAGCATGTTACCTTGACTGGGTACCCACCTACAGTCTGGCTTCCCGCAACACCGTCCCCTTAACCGGAGGCAGATTTTTGGCAGAGGGGGCCTGGTTGGCCTTATTAGTGTCTGAGTTCTTTTTATTGCTGCTCCAAAATAAAGAGCATTTTTCCTAGAAGATAATAGGGCTATTTTATGGTGTACCTTGACATGAATTCCATGAGGGTTCCAATTTTAAGAGAAGATTTTAAATTTAATCACCGTTTAACTACAATCTACTTATTAATGAAGATTGCAATTTGTAAGTTATACTAAGCTGTCCCCTATTTAAGATTTTGGTCAGTGTTAAGCCAGTTTTAAAATGGTCCATTTGCATTTTAAAAGAGTGTCCCTATTCAGGTTTTAGATCATGTTTGCAGAAGAGATTAATGATGCTGTATTCAGGCACACTTTGTGAGATTTACACATTTTAGAACTGCAAGCTCAACAGATGCATTTTAAACTGGCTCCACTACAAACTAGACTAAGATTTAAGTGTTTCACCGTACATCATCTGGACCGAGTTTGGAGCACACTACTCCCTCTGGAAGCTGGAGAGGCATACAAGAAATTCCAGGAAGAAATTTGGTTAAATGAGACCTTCGCACTGGATGACACGTGACAGCTGTGGACAATGCCCTTGCTTAGCGTCCCCTGCGACATCCTGTGACTTCAAGAGGGAGGACTGTGCACGATTAAGCAATCATTACTAGATTAGCAACACTTCAATCAAATCAGGAATGCACCTTGGCTGCAAATTACTGTCTTCCAGTTTACAAGCTCTTCTCTATTCATTAGAGGGAGTGAGACTTTCATGTGTTGTTGCATAGGTTCCTTAGAGACTTCTAAGATCATTAAGGCTTTTTATTCACTTTTGAGGTAGCCAGACACTTCCTGCAGTTGATTTTAGTTCCAGCAGTTCATGGCACTTTTGCAAGTAGTAGTGGGGGCTGCTGAGCCCCCAGATATTTACAGCGGGCTTGTGCCTGGGCATGGGAGACTTCACAAGCAGATACTCAGTTGACACAAGTGAACTGAAGAGTCAGCTTTGCTTCCTGACCCCTTCTAGCACAGTTGGTGAGGAAGCAGGGAAGCAGGGTGAGGAATCACCAGCCCAAGGCTGCACAAGGCCCGGGAGAAACAGCTGCCCAGCAACTGTAGGTATTTGTCAGATTTGCTGGTGCTAAATAGCACAATACTGTGGTCTGCCAAATACCACTTCAAAGGTTTATGCGGTTCCCAGCAGTCAAGGCCCACCCCATCCCTACATGAAAGCTTGTTCTTGCAGCCTGGCAGTGTACTACAAGACACAAGTGCCCGACATGCAGGCTTTAAGGGTGGCTCTCAGGCAGCAAGAAGCCTCCAGCAGCCACTCACTGCCCAGAACAGCTCTCCACTGTTGCAGGTGAGCTGCTTGCTGAAGTGTCACGCAATGAGAAAATCAAAGGAGGGAGTGATCACTGGAAGATGAGTAACAGACTTTGGCAAGTCAGGTTTCCTGTTTGAAAAACCTGAGGCACCTCAGCCATAGCTGAGGTTTGCTGGCTTCTGGTGGGCAGTCTGTTCACTGCCACGAGCTGGCAAAAGGTGGCCTTGCAAATTCACACGTTTGGACAAGGGCAGAAGGTAACTTTCTGGGGTAGATGCAGCCCCAGAAGCGTTAAGCCAAGATATTTCTAACTTCAGCTGGGAAGAAGCACCCTCTAACCCTCGGCTGTGGAGTTAGCAACTTTTCCTGGCAGCCTGAACTGTTTAACCCACTTTATTTGCCAGTGACTACCTGCACTTGCTGAAGTTGAGAAGTGCAGCATATTTGAGGCCTGAGCACTTCAGCAGTGCAGTAAGGGTCTGCGTTGAGCTCTCGGCCCCAGCGCTCCTTCCGCGTTGTTGCGGAGCGCACAGAGGAACAAAGGGATTTGGAATCATGTGCTTAAGTCAATTAGGCTGTTGTAGGCTTGGTTAGAATCCAATTATGTGAGACTTGGAAAACCCTGGTAACCATTTAAAGTGGGGTTTGAATCCCTGTTCCAGTAGGGGCAGTTACAGGAGGCTGAGCGAGAACAGCTTCTCGCACATGCTCTCTCACCGGAGCACGCTCCTATCCTTAAGCATTGCTTTTCTATCCCCACAAGTAGCCTCTTCAGTTCTTAGTTTGAGAGCCAGCTCAGGTAATTTGACTCTAGTGCTAAATTAAAAAGGCTTGTTTTAATATATTCGGGTAGGGAGTTAGATCTCTGTTTCAAGAGCTAAAGCTTATAGGGAGCTTAGTGTTATCAGATGAACGTTTTGGAGCCAGAGTCACAGATCTCTGACAAGCGTCTCAGTGTTTTGTACTCTGTCCCTAGAGCCTTACGCACAGACGGTTCAGGTTCTCGCTGTGCGAGGCATCGAGCATCCTAACTGCTTCTCCCCGTCGTGGGCCAACTTCTCGTTGGGTGCCAGCTTCCCACAGGCTTCAGAGATTTTCACTTCTCATTAAGTCCAGATCCACAAAGGCACTGAGGGTCCAACTTCCAGAGCTATTCAGAGTAGTTTCACTTGCAGGGAAACAAGTGAATCTTAAGGAAAGATGGGGTCCAGGCTGGCTTGAGACATGGGCAGGGTACCTGTGCCCTTTCTGCAGGAACGCAGCCACTGCATTTCTTTTATGAACAAGCTGCACTTAAGTGGCTACGTCCCACCAGAGAAGGCAGCTCAGTTCAGATTAGGAAACTGTTGGGACCCTGCAGAGACATTTGGACTTGAGCAATGGCACAGACCTGCTGCTTTATAAGGAGACCAGATTGAGGAGCTTGTTTCTTCATTAGCTGGATGAGTTGATGAATGCTTCCTCCTACGGGGAGGCTTCCTCCTTCCTCCACTTTTGTCACTGTCATTGATTGAGATGGCCACAAATGGTTATGTTATCTATCCATAGCCCAGTTTCTAGATGGCTGACAAAGTCCTGCTGTTATGTACTGGCACCTGGCAACTTTCAGGTACGCTTCATGACATCAGCTTATGTTTCATCAGGAGCGTTAGATTGGCCTGACAATCTACATCATCTGATTAAATCTGATTTGAGTAACAGCGTTTACCATTAGACGTCTGCAGGTTCTTACCTTACTCGTCGCCATGAGTACAACTGCTGTGATAATGAGAGGGATACTCAGCCCAAGGAAGATGTATTGCAGATAGTTCAGCACAGATGGGATCAGCACCAGGTTGGTGTAAAACTGCCTTAGGACTGAGCCTTCGATGGATCCACTCTGCTCAAAAAAGCAAAGCGGTCAGGGGCGTTTCCCTCACACCCAGTGCTGAGGCAGACCCGCTGCGCAACTCCCCTCCTACCAACTCCCAGCAGGGATTAGGGAATTTTCTAAGTAGGATTCAGTCAGGCTAGAAGCTTTTACCGAATCGTTGAGTCCCCTGGACGTGCACACAGCTGCAGAGGACTGGCACACACTGGCCCGCATTAGTGCGGGACACGGTGACAGTAGTGTTCTGGGTCCTGTTTACCTCTGTGTTCAGCACAGAACCAGAGGTTAACCAAGCACAGTGCAGGGTTTGTTCAGCTCAGAGGGATTAAGCATGTCGCCAAGTGTTGCAAAGCCCTCTGTTGGTCCCCTAATTAGTCTGTCTGGCCTAAAGCTTTATTTAAAGTACAGTTTCCCCAGGGAAGTCACGTAACAGCACCGACAGCCCTCTCCGAGCTCAGCAGCTCCGGGTGGCGGGGAAGCAGTCTCCACCCTTCTGCATGAGACCTTCTGCAGAATTAGGTCGAGGAAGGCAGTGGGAGTACAGCTCACCTCTGCGAACCACAGCAGCGGCAGGACCACTGGCTTAGTCTTCCCTGTTTGTCTAAGGAGAGAGAGATGCACATTTAGATCTCTGGTTGATCACACTACCACTAGTGTCTCAGTTCTTCCTACAGGGAAGGGTCTGATAAACTGAGAGTGGCCAGGAAAACAGTGCAAGGAGGCAGCAACTCCTCCTGTTTCAGGGAGCTTCCTCCACTTCAGGGACCAGCTCCAACCAGGGCCTTTCATGCAAGAGCAAAGCTTACGTTTCTGTGCACGCTTAACTGCCCGATGACATCGGTAAGTGCCATCCCAAAGCTGGGCTCCAGGTACATTCACTCACTGAGCTGGAAAACTAAACTGAATGCAATTGCAAGATATCCCAGTCACCTGCGTGGTGTTAAGGGTGACGTAGCCAAGCTCACCGCACCAGGGCTGTTGTTGGTACACAGCCAGTCTACAATGCAGCTAGTTTATGTTCCCACACTTGCAGGTATTTAACACTGGGCACCACATAACTTCGAGCCCTTCTGAAGAGATTCCCATTTGCTTTCATAGCTCGTTGAAAGAGCCTTTTTGGAAGGATAACTTCAACTTTCAATACTGAAAGCAGAGCGTGCTTGGCCTCTCCGCGCTGGCTGTAACACCTTTTGAGCAGCTGCACAACGCAGGTAGAAAGCCGCTGTACCTCCCCCATAATAGCAGTGCAGTCAGAGCATTTGTAGTACATCAACTGTCCCGCCAGGCGTAGGAGATACTGCAAAAGCTGACAAAGCAAGCAGCCACACACTGTGCTGCTACAGGAGGGCTGTCTGAGGTCACGGGAATAGCTGCCATTTCACCATGTGACCCAGGTGGCTTCTACACCAGCAGAACCGGTGAGGTCAGAGCTGGTGAGGTCACAGCTGCCTCATCTTTGGGGACAGTTAAGTCTAAACAGCGTTCACAGAGTCAGGAACGCTTCATGCTCTAGGAAGACAGATTGCCATTTCTAGAAGACAACTACTTACATTATACCAGCCACCTGCTTGATGTACAGATTCAGCTGCAGCTTGATGGAGCAATTCATCGGGATGCCCGTCATCTGCAAAGGGAGAGACCAACCATTTCATCAGCGCAGCCGGCATTTGTCTCTTTGCAGAAGAGCAGCCCTTGGCTTTCCACCATCGCTGCTTTGGGTGCAGCTCTCCCAGAGCGATCGACAAGCTCGTGCAGAGATCCGCTGCAGTCGCCGCGCACAGGACTAGGAGCGGGGCTGGGGTTTCCGCCTAGGCGCCGCGACCCCCGGCTCTGGGGACGACCGCTCGCAGAGGCGGCGCTGCCC